TCAACACCGGAAACCGTTCAGCGGAATTTTTTGAAAAATCAATGGCGGAAACCTGCGACTTAAAAAAAGTTCAGAAAAAAAAAAGTCAACGCCGGAAACCGTTCGGCGGGAAAAGTAGACAATTTTTTTTTTTTTTTTTTTTTTTTTGAAAAATCAACGCCGGAAACCTGCGACTTAAAAAAAGTTCAGAAAAAAATGTTTAAAAAATGAAAAAGTCAAAATGGGATTTTTATGTTCAAAATTGATTAAATTAAAGTTAAATTGGGGTTACAATTATGAATTGAGTTTAAAGGGTTAGGGGTAATGTTTTCATGTATATTAATTTTTTATTTATTTATAATACATATTAAAGGAATAGGCTTATTGGCGAAAGAGATATTAGGAGTCAACCTAAGATAATAAAAAATGGTTGGTTAAAGACTTATTCATAAAAATCCTTTGTACTCCCTCGATTGCTTGAACATATCCTTTAGCAATTTTGAAATTCAATAATTGCGGAAACAAAATTTAGTAACCTTAATTTTGTGTTAAGTTTCCTATTAATGTAGGAAACAAATAAAGAATGGTCGACATTTCATCCTGAATTGTTCGCCAAATGCCCACGCATTATATACCCGTTCGTTACTTTTACACACGTTAGGATTTTTACATCATATTATGGGACTAATGACATATACACGTTGACTTAACTATTTTATATACCCCTAGGAACCTAATAAATTAGGGATAAATCCAAGCGGAAATCATCCTTAGAGATACCCGTGGATAGGAAAAGTTCTATACTGCCCTTATATGCAATTTTCGCCCAAACTGCATTCAGTATATATGGTCGCACATTTAGCAACTATGGTCCTACATTTAGTACTTTCGCTGATGTTTTATTTTATTTTTATAAACTCCTGTTTTTTATTTTGTTATTTTTATATGTATATCTTTTTTAATAATCTTTTTTTTATATAATTTCTTTTTAATTTTTTTTCAAATCGATATGTTGACTGTACTAAGAAGAACTACATGCAATTGTAGTAAACCATAGTCATCCTTAGTAATGTTCTTTCTTTTTATCCTAATTTTTTAGTCGACCAATTATATACAAACACGAATATCAACGCTTATACAAAAATAATTCATAAACACCAACAACAAAAGTTCACAATTAAAATAATTATATTATAAATTAATTAATAACCAAAAAATACAAGTCGAAATACACAATTACATGCATATGTTACTACATGTACTATACGTTATTAGTAGTCTTATATATAAAAGAGAGAAACGTTGGGCAACCTAAAAAAACTCTAATGGTATTTCTGAATTACTTATTTTTAATATTTTTTCCTTACTAATTTCTAACTATAATTTTTAACAATTTTCAAATTTAAATCTAACCCGTGAAGAATCCCACCCTAGTGGTACTTCTCTAAATATTTATTTTTAATATTTTTTCTATACTAATTTTCTAATTTAATTTTCAACAATTATTAATCTCCTATTTTTCATCAATATATCTCAAATCTTAAGAGATGAAGATAGAAATTTGATTTGTTAAATATTAATCTATTTATTTGGATTATAAATCTGTATATGTAAGATTTAAAAAAACTAATGTTCTATAAAATATGAATAATAGTACATTATTAAATTTTACTATGCTAGTGTACTATATTTCCGTATTATGTATTAAATTGATTTTTTTCTCACTTTTGAAATAATATTCTGTGCATCGCACGGAGAAAAATACTAGTGTATAATAATGTGTAGTAATGTACACAATCTGTAAAAAACTATAACTTGAAGCAGATGTCAAAATCATCAAATTCGTCTACAACTTCAACTAAATTTTTTGACACCTTCAAGGAGATGATCAATGAGCATTAAGGTGCAATTGCAAAATCAAAACAAAAAAAATTATTTTAGTGTAAATTAACATAATTGAAGAAACGTCAAAACAATACAAAATCGACAAACACTAAGAGATCGAGAGATATATAGGGAAAGATAGGTCATAGTTGTGAAATGCTACAAATTTTAGACCAAACTGCTAATGACTCCTCACCCAAGTGCCTCCTACGAAAACCCTTGTTGCCGCTAACCACCTAACGTTTCGCGCTCGTAATGAAAAAAATTACACAAATAAATCTGACAATAAAAAAATAAACGAAATTGCCATCAAAATATAGATCTCGATGAAATGAATCCAACAGTGGGTAGCCGTCAAATTCCGACTACCGGAACACAAATTACACCTCATGCCAGACCCACCGTCGTTGAAATATGCGCCGACTGTAAAAAGATTAAAGAAATAGATCCAAATATCTAAATTGTATGAAACCACCACCAAAAGAAAGAGCTCGATGAGAGAAATCTAACGGTAGTTAAACCATCATATTCCGACCACCGGAGAGAGGGATATGACTCCAGGAAGAAACATTGCCGGTTGGAGACGTATGGGGGTTGGATTTGGATATGAGAGTTGAGAAAGGAAGAGAGAGACGGCTATGAGTTGGCTAGGGTTTAAAACTTATTTTAAAAGGGCATTTTAGGTACTTAAAAGTTGTGAGGGGGTTTTCCCAAATTAATATCAAAATGGAGGGGGTATGCACCAGGTTGTAATATCCTTGGTGGTTGGTTCCAAATATTTTTCATATGGGGGTCCCTAAAATAATCCCTAATTAAAAACGGGTTGTTCAAGTTTCTTGTTTTGTAAATAAACTCCACTTACACATTATTTATTAATACACACAACTCTAATTTTTATGACATATGAATAACGCTTACCATCTAAACACGAGTTTTTTTTTTTTTTTTTTTTTTTTTTGCAAAAATCGCCCCTATATAACGTTGTATTAATGGAAAAAAACCCTTGTGTTAAAAAATTAACAATGAACCCCTTATGAAAATTAGTCAAAATCACTAGTCCCTGCCAACTTATAGTGTGTTGCACGCGCGATTTGTGCGACTAGAGGTGTGTTTTTTTAGGTGTATTTACACTAAACGATTTTAATCCTCAAACTTTGAAGTTCACGAAATTAGTCCTCATTCTTACCACATTTTGGCACTTTTAGTTCGGCCAGCAACTTTTTCAGTTACCTTGGACGAAAATATCACGTGCGCCTCACATGACGTCCAAATGACAATCAAAACTCCAGCTAGAACACAACAGTCCATTTGGCAGCTTCCCCGGATTTTTATCCTCCAAATCCCTAATTTTCTCTTATGCCATTTCAACAAAAATCCAACCCTTAGATTATACTTTACTAATCCTCAAATTGAGGCGATTTAATACAACACCGTAATCGATCTACCCTAATTTCACAAAATTTGAAATGTTTGTGGAGTGGAACATCACGATCGTGCATTAATAAACTTTGATTTTGGTAAATTTCTCCAAGTTGCAATCTCTAAACTTTGAATTTGGTAATTTTGCAAGTTATAGTTTTGATTTCATCTCAAATTGTTTGTTGTAGCATAAAAGATGAGTAGGAGCTTTATTGGTAGTGGTTTTTATTTCAGCGTCGCGTTTACATTCTTGCCCTGGTGGTGGTGGTTTTTTCCCTTTATTTTGCCACTGGGTTTGCAAGATTGAAGTATGGTCTGTGTTGGAGTGAGGATCAATGAGCGCCATTTTTTTTTTTTTTTCCTTTTTCTGGTTTTGCCCGGGCTGATTTTCATGTTATTTTTTTAAAAGATGTGCTGGAGAGATTTAAGTGGTAAAGTTGAGAACTAAATTAGTGGCGACACATATTTGATGACTAAATCGTTTTAGGTGAAAACTATAGGGATAGAAACTGTAATTATCCCGTTTTTTATACATGAAAAGTCCTAATGTCCTTTGGGATTCTTTTGCAAATAGACATACTTCATTTGGATCAAATTGCAATTTTCAAATGTTTTTTAAAAACACTAATTTCTTCTTTCCAAAACGGTTTGTTGGGAGACATACTTCAACTTCATCTCATTCTCCCCACACTGTCACCCAAATCCCAAATCCGTCGGATTCGGAGAAAAATTTGAAACACTGCAACATCCTAAAAGCCTTAATGGATCTGTAATGGCATGGAGATGGTCGGGTCAAATAGTGTTTTTGAACTTAATGGCTCCAAATATTTTTTCTTTCACGTGGAGATGGTTTAAGTATCTTTAGAATGCTCTTTTGACGAACACATTCTTGCTCGCCTTAGTAGTCATTCATTTGGGCTGCCTGGTACCACTGGAACAAGATTATACATGGCGAGGATCTCGTGAGATGGTGTAGGAATTTTCTCGACACCGGCCTTTCAACAAGAAACACAACTGATCAACATACTCCGGCGCCTACTAGCATCCTCACTCAAAATAGTATCAATATATATATACATATTGTGGGTGACTGCGGTTTCCTACGGGTGTCTATATATAGATGACTATGACCGAAAAAATTTAAAAACAATTCATACAGATGTCTATAGATGACCTTTTTTTGTAAAAAAAAAATTGTTTTATGGACCCCTTTAAGAATAAGTACCTCATGATGGACATATTTGTAATAGACCATTTATTATATATATGATGATCAAACTATCGTGAAAATTATGAATTACATAAAAAAAAATTAAATATGATCAATAATTTTAAATTTATTTATTATAAGAAAAAAAATTATTTGAAGAAAAAAGAAAAAAAAAATTGAAAAAAACGTAAAGAAAAAAAAAATTAAAGAAAGGGAGAAAGGTGGCGGAGAGATGTGGTGTGATAGAAGAAAGAGTCCATTAGAACTAAAATTAACATTCAATTTTATTAACGTAACTAAAATTAACATTCAATTTTATTAAAGCAGTATATAATAAATCCAAAAAAAAAAAAAAAAAAAAAAAGAGAGAGAAAGGTGGCGGAGACTTGGTATGATAGAGATCATAGAGTCCAATTGAATTCAAATTGTGAAGTGAATTTGAGAATATTATAAATGCCCCATAGAGATGCTGCATGCATTATTAATTCAAAAGCAAGAAAGAAAAAAGACTTACTAGAGGAGAATTTAATCTGTGATTATAGCAATGGAGTCGAAGTATCCGCCAGGTTACCGTTTCATGCCGACGGATGAAGAACTCATCTTTGACTACTTACTAAAGAAGATCGACAATCGGCCTTTAGCAGCCGACGTTATTCAAGTCGTCAACTTTTCCGATCATGGTCCCGATTATTTGTCACGTACGTTATTTTTTTATTTTTTTTTTAAGTTCACGCATGAATGATCTTGTGTATGTGTTCTTTTATGGATTATGATTTTTAGGTTTTACGATTATTTTCATCTTAATTGTATTAAGATTTCTTGATTATTTTTAATTAATTAAGTTGTCAACTTTTCTTGATTAATTAGGTTTTTGTTTTGTTTTCTTTTTTTATGGATCTGATTTTTTATTTCATGATTATTTTCATCTTAAACTCTTACATGGATATTGATCTTGAGTTCTTGAAAATATATACAGGCGAATATCCTCCAGTTGGAGACAAGGAATGGTATTTTTTCACCCCGAGGATTCGAAAGTATGCCAAGGGATCGCGGCCTAATCGAACTGCAGGCAACGGATTTTGGAAAGCTAGTTGTGCCGACAAGGATATTAAATTTAATAATAAAATTATCGGACACAAGATGACTTTGGTTTTTCACGAAGGAATATCATCAAAAGACGGGATTAAGACCGATTGGATCATGCATGAATATACAGCGATTCATCCTTCCCGGAATAAAAGAGATGCCGACGACAACATGAAGGTATATATATATATATAATATCTAATTATTTAATTTATTTATTAATTAGACGAAGATGATGCGATCGATCCCTTAATTAATAATAATTTTTGTAATAATTAATAATTATAAGTTGTTGATTACTAACTAACTGTATGTATTTTGTTATCGTTTTGCAGTTGGATGACTGGGTTATTTGCCGTATTCATAAGAATGTTTCGAAATCAAGCAGTGCTAATAAACGGCGGGCTAATCTCCTAGAAAATCAACAACAAGAAGAACAAGTTGCGGTAAGAGAAAATCGACAAGAAGAAGAAGAAGAACAAGTTGCGGTACGAGAAAATCGAGGAGAGGAAGATGAAGTTGTTGCATCAGACCGAGTTCGTGAAGTTGTTGAAGCACATGATAATTTGAATGATCAATATTATTATGGGATTAATAATAATAATATTAATGCGGCCGCAAATTCAAACGCAAACGCAAACGCAAACGCAAACGCAAACGCAATGGATAATTGCAAGGACGACAAGGAAGAAGAGTGGTTGGACGACGATTTTGTAGACATTAATCAACTATTAATGTCGATGGAAGAAGAAGGTTTTATAATAGACATTAATGCACTATTAATGACGAAAGAAGAAGAAGAATGTTTCCAGGAACGATTATCACAAGTTCAGCAACCAAATCAGCAAGGGAGTATTTATCAGCATGCTCCAAAATGATAAAGAAGACAATACTGAATCATTTAATCTTCTTTAGCGATCGATCTGTTTTTAAAGCTATGTTAGTACTCTGACTACATGTATAAATAAATGCAACTAGTGATTAATTAGTTTTCGAATATTAGTTGATTAGTGAACGAGTTCTTTGTCGCCTGTCGGTATTAAGTATTCACATGCTCAATCAAAATAATATCAACATTTATACACACTGAAAGTAAAATAAATAAATATGTCAAATAACGGATGTTCTTCTTACATGTTATTAGGAACCTGATTTATCTGTAGCTGGTTTCTTCTTACATGGCTTCGGCCTTCAATCGGACATATAACACAAAACCTTGGCCGACGACGTAACTATGAATCACGTCTCTCTACATCACTCTCACCAGATTAACACAAGTTTGCAAAAGTCCTGAATTCAGCAAGAAATCATCATCTGTATATAATCATTGATCGATTAATCTTAAATTGCAACAAGACCAGAATAATTACCAGCAGCTACTCCGATCAATTACCAATGATAAACTTGCACCCTAAGCAATTTCCGGTTGAACTTTTGACTCGATATTACTTTAACCCCTTCTTCTCTCGATTGCATCTAAGCCTGAAAATTACAAAAAAAAACCACTCCTCCCAGTTTAAATAATTATGAAAAAAAATTAAAAAAATAAAAAATAAATTGTGGCTGACGCCGTGGACTATGTTTTCTCGTTGTCTTGATTTTTTTTTAATAATTATTTAAAGTGGGAGAGGTGGCATTTTGTAATTTCAGAGCTTAAACAAACGGTGTTAAGGTCAAATATCTGATAACTAACAACGAGTGCCACATTAAGATAATTTTTCAAGTATAGGGGGGCGAATCGATGGAATCAAAAGTAGAAGAGGGTAAAGTGATATCGAGCCCAGTACAAGGGGGAAAGTGAAATTTACCTGGTAATATTATACATATAAGGGGTTATTTAAATAATAGGGCAAATGACAAAAATGGACATGACAAAGGACTTAAATGCATATAGGTCCAAAAAAAAACATTCTATCAAATAAACTCATCCCCATGTGTTTAGTCTAAAATACCCTTCATAATATAATTTTTATCAATTCCATCAATTATACTCTAACTTCTTTAATATTCACTTTGACCCCGGATTTAAACAAATATATTACATTAACCCTCATTTTAATAGTTTTTTGAAAAATATTTTTTTTTTCAGAAAATCATTTTTTTCTGATTTTTTTTTTTCTGGCCAGATTCCGGCATTGACTTTTTTTTTTCTTAATTTTTTTCCAGCGGTCAACCGCCGGTCTCCGGCGTTGACTTTTTTTTTTTTTTTTGAAAATTTGTTTTCTTAGAAAAAAATATTTTAATTAATATTACTGTCTTGGCTGCTAAATTATTGTCTTCAACAGTAATATTACAGTTTGAGACAGTAATATTATGAATATTATTTTTCCGAACAGTAATATTGGTAATATTACTGTCCCAAAAAGTAATATTATTGCATGAGACAGTAATATTACAGTAGAAGGTAGCAAAAATGCAAAAATGCAGGCCAAGACGATAAAATTAATTAATACAGTAATATTACTGTATTAATTAATTTTAAGACAGATTAACACAAGTTTGCAAAAGACCTGAATTCAGCAAGAAATCATCATATATATATATATATATATATATATATATATATATATATATATATATATATATATATAATCAATTCTGACAAATCCGGAATAATTACCAGCAGCTATTCCGATCAATTACCAATGGTAAACTTGCACGCTAAGCAATTTTTGTAGTGCACATCATTTCTTCGACTTAATTATCTTTCACAGCTTCCGACGTTTTCTCTTCCTTAGCCTTCGACTCAACTTTCCCTGTGAAGTAAAATGCCATGTCAAAATATCACGCAATCTCCTTGAAAGATTTTAAATTAAGGCAACACCAAAATATTACAATAAGTGATACAATCATTTGCATATGAAAGTAAGATATCCTCCTGAGATCATTCATCTGATATATATATATATAAGGGGCTATTTAAATACTAGGGCAAATTACGGCCCACCCCCTGAGGTATGGCCAAATTACGAAAAAACCCCTCTTGTTTGGATAATTACAGCCACCCCCTCCTTTTAAATATTTTTACATAAAATTTATGTAATTCGGTTATTTACCGAACCAAATCGTATATTCAGTTCGGTAAACGGTGTAAAATGGTGGCATACCAAAATTTTGGTTCGGTTTTACCAATTTAACATTCCTAAATTTACCTCAGGAGGGTTTTTTCATAGGATAATATATAGTTGAAGCGGATGGTTGTAATTACCCAAACAGGTGGGGGTGTTTCATAATTTGACTATAACTCAGGGGTGGCCTTAATTTGCCTAAATAATATAAAGTGCAGGAAAAACAGACAGATATGCTAGGCTAAGTTTTCTCACCTTAATGAACCAGAGAGATTCTCTTTTGTGCAGGCTTGAGCTCCTTGTTGTCACAAAGTTTGACGCAAGAATTCCTCTTTCGGCTTCTCTATTCCGGAACATTCCGAATAACACATGTGTCTCGACATATTGCCACATACTGCCATTTTAGCCATTCTCTCGGCAGAAAAATCTCCACATTATTTTACAGGAGAAGCTAAAAGATCCTCGTGCAAGGTTTCGCAAATTCCTTTCATACTCATTTCAGAACAGATGATTTTGGCCTCTTTTACTCGTCCTTCGTCCCTAAGTCCAGAAACGAGTTCATTACAAACAGAGACGCTCGGTAGAAAGCCGATTTTCAGCATTTCTCTGTACCACGCGGAAGCCCCATCGAAGTCCTTCACCTTGCAATGCCCTTCAATTAACGTGTTAAAGGTTCCGTCGTTGGGGCCCACCTCTTTGGCAATCATGTCGTCAAAAAGATCCTTTGCTCCGTGAAAATTTCCCTCTTTTAAGCATCCCGTAATCAAGCTATTGTACGTCTTCTTGTCGGGAAGAATTCCCAGATTCGACATCTCACCACACAATACATTTGCTTTCCGAATGTCTCCATGCCATACAAAGCACTGAATAAGCTCGTTGTATACAACACGATCCGGAGTCAGGTTCAATCGAGACATATCTTCAAGAATTTTCTCCACAAGGTCGATTTTGTCATTTTTGCATGCGCTTATAAGAGGATGATACGTGTTTAAGGTAGGCTTGATGCCTGAGGCTTTCATCTTCTCGTACAATTCTACACACTTCTCCACATTACCTAATCTCGAGAACCCAGAGATCAAGCAATTGTACGTGATGACATCAGCACTCAGACCTTTACTCGTGATACTAAAGGCTAATTCTTCAGCTTCCGCAACCCGACCCTTTTTGCTGAGCCCATTCACAAGTGAATTGTATGTCACAATGGTCGGAGATATATGACTCCTTAACATTTCATCAAATACTGCAAAAGCAACTTTAATATTCCCCCTCGTGCAATTCCCGTCTATGAGCATGTTATATATCTGGGCATTCGGCAAAACGCTTCTGTTCAGCATATCTTCGAAGATCACTTTAGCTTCAACAATTCGGCCCTTCTTGCAGAAAGTATTAACAATAGCTCCGTAAGTGACAACATTAGGCTTCGACCCGTTATTTTCCATTTCATTGAGAATCTGCAGACACTTCTCAAACTGGGAACTGCGGCCGTACCCATTGATTAAAATATTATACGTCTGTACATTTGGACAAAGACCCTTCGTCTTCATCTTTCGTACCGACTCGTTTGCATCATCCATCTGACCCAGTGCACAAAAATGGCTTATAATCGTATTATACGTGATGCAGCTAGGCTTCATCCCTTCATTTTCCATTTCTTCGATAACCAGAAGGGCTTTATCGACATTTCCCACTTTGCAATAACCATTCACCATGGTATTCAGTAACACCTCCGTCAAAACAACCTTGTGTTCCTTTAACTTCGTCAAGCACTCCTTTGCTCTGTCCATTTTCCCTTCCTTGCACAAGCCATTCATCAGAATACTGCACGTGTATTCATTCAAGCTCACACCTTTCTTCATCGCGTCTTCATACAATGCTACCGAAGCCTCAACATTCCCGCATCTCGAATGCCCATCCAAAAGAATACTGTACGTAAATCCATCCGGCACAAACCCATAGAAAGCCATTTCTTCTAATATTCTGTTAGCCTCTTCCATTCTCCCCATTTTACAAAGCCCGCCGAGTAATGTGTTATACGTCACAATATTCGGCTCCACGCTGTTATTTTTCATCTTTTCTCTTAAATCAAAAGCCCCCTCTAAATCCCCCATTTTACAGTACCCATCGATCAGAGTATTGTACGTCACTCTATTTGGGAAAACATTCCTCCGAAGCATTTCGTCAAACAGCTTCTTCGCATCATCCACTCTCTTCTCCTTACACAACCCACCAATCAAAACATTGTACACAAACCCGTTCGGCATGATCCCACATTTCTTCATCCGATTCATCAAGTCCAATCCTTTCTCCAAATCTCCCAACTTCACCGCGGATTGTACGGCTTTTCCGTAACTAAACTTATCCACCCAGCCATCAGAATCCACCGCATCGGAAAAGATCTCGAGGGTCTTACTGAACCGACCCAAATTCACCAACGACTCAAGAAAGAAATTAAAAGCCGAGACGGAAGGGAAACTACCGTCATTTCTCACCAAACCGTACAACTCGATAGCCTCATTAGGGAGCTTGGACTCAGCATAAACTGCCAAAAGAGTGTCCGTAAACACCGGCTTCGTGTCCGGTGGGGGAGAAGACTGAGAGAAGAGAATGTAGAGCTGCGAAACTGAATGCAATGGAATGAGAGTTTGTAGGTGCCTTTTTGCCGTTTCGGTTCGGTTCTGCTGGATAAGAACCCTAATCTTTCGGAGGTCTTCTAGAAGCTGGATTGGTGCTGTTGGATCTATTGCTTCTGTGGAACTGCAGAAGGGCTTAGAGATGAAGTTTGGGGGAACGAGACGGTGAAAACGTCTCGCCATGCCTACTCGGTTTATTTTTTGCTTGAACAAACACGGATCGCTTGTTTCTGTCACGGTTCGGTGAGACTTCTTCGACCTGGCAAAAAAAACAAGTTCGGAAAATACGGCAAAACATCAGTTAGAACAGTAATTTCAATAATTCAAATGCGAAACAACTCTGTTTCTAGAAATTATAAACTTCGCTACAGACGATAATATTGAAAAAAATTGCATTAATCGGAATCATTACAATCCCATACTTGCAATTTAAGAGATGAACTAGTTATAATATTTGAAAACCCTCAAAATTGATGTAATTCATAAGCCCCAAAATTCATCAATAAATTTTGAATTCTAAAAAATGAAAAAGTGAATCAGCCAAAAAAAAGATGGCCGTTGGAATTCCAACTGTAAGAAAAAAATGAAAAAGGAAAAGCATAAATACCTGATTGGAATTCATCTTCTTCACTCACTTCTTCAAACATTCTTCAATCTGAACAAATTTCATCCAAACATTCTTCAGTTTGGACAAATTTCAGTGAGTTATTTTGTTTATTTTTTCTTCAATGGCTGGTGGATGATTATGAAGAGAGAGCGTGGGGCTGCTGAAGTTGAGATGGCGGAGGATGGAATGACCACGCGCTCCCGTGTGCGCTGCTGGTGAATGTTGGGGGTGGCGGTGGGATTAGGTTATTTAGTTTATTGAGAGGTGTTTATCAACAAGCCCAAATTTATTTCATATTTTTAAGATAAATCCAAAACAATTTCTATTAACAAAAAATAATTAATTATCACCATTATACCCCTCATTATTTTTTATCTAAATCCTCTGGCGTATATATATATATATATATATATATATATATATATATATATATATATATATATATATACACACGCAAACATCAAGACGGAGGACTAAAGAATGGTCGACATTTCATCAAAGAATGGTCGACATTTCATCATGAATTGTTCGCCAAATGCCCACGCATTATATACCCGTTCGCTACTTTTACACACGTTAGGATTTTTACATCATATTATGGGACTAATGACATATACACGTTGACTTAACTATTTTATATACCCCTAGGAACCTAATAAATTAGGGATAAATCCAAGCGGAAATCATTCTTAGAGATACTCGTGGATAGGAAAAGTTCTATACTGCCCTTATATGCAATTTTCGCCCAAACTGCATTCAGTATATATGGCCGCGCATTTAGCAACTCTGGTCCTACATTTAGTACTTTCGCTGATGTTTTATTTTATTTTTATAAACACCTGTTTTTATTTTGTTATTTTTATATGTATATCTTTTTTTTATATAATTTCTTTTTAATTTTTTTCAAATCGATATGTTTACTGTATTAAGAAGAACTACATGTAATTGTAGTAAACCATAGTCATCCGTAGTAATGTTCTTTCTTTTTATCCTAATTTTTTAGTTGACCAATTATGTACAAACACGAATATCAACGCTTATACAAAAATAATTCATAAACACCAACAACAAAAGTTCACAATTAAAATAATTATATTATAAATTAATTAATAACCAAAAAATACAAGTCGAAATACACAATTACATGCATATGTTACTACATGTAATATATGTTATTAGTAGTCTTATATATAAAAGAAAGAAACGCTAGGCAACCTAAAAACACTCTAATGGTATTTCTGTAATTACTTATTTTTAATATTTTTTCCTTACTAATTTCTAACTATAATTTTTAACAATTCTCAAAATTAAATCTAACCCGTGAAAAATCCCACCCTGGTGGTACTTCTCTAAATATTTATTTTTAATATTTTTTCTATACTAATTTTCTAACTATAATTTTCAACAATTATTAATCTCCTATTTTTCATCAATATATCTCAAATCTTAAGAGATGAAGGTAGAAATTTGATTTGTTAAATCTTAATCTATTTATTTGGATTATAAATATTTATATGTAAGATTTAAAAAAACTAATGTTATATAAAATATGAATAATACTACATTATTAAATTTTACTATGGTAGTGTACTATATTTCCGTATTATGTATTAAATTGATTTTTTTCTCACTTTTGAAATAATATTATGTGCATCGCACGGAGAAAAATACTAGTATATAATAATGTGTAGTAATGTACACAGTCTGTAAAACACTATAACTTGAAGCAAATGTCAAAATCATCAAATTCGTCTACAACTTCAACTAACTTTTTTGACTCCTTCAAGGAGATGATCAATGAGCATTAAGGTGCAATTGCAAAATCAAAACAAAAAAAAAATTATTTTAGTGTAAATTAACATAATTGAAGAAACGTCAAAACTATACAAAATCGACAAACACTACGAGATCGAGAGATATATAGGGAAAGATAGGTCATAGTTGCGAAATGCTACAAATTTAAGACCAAACTCTAATGACTCCTCACCCAAGTGCCTCCTACGAAAACCCTTGTTGCCGCTAACCACCCAACGTTTCGCGCTCGTAATGAAAAAAATTACACAAATAAATCTGACAATAAAAAAATAAACGAAATTGCCATCAAAATATAGATCTCGATGAAATGAATCCAACAGTGGGTAGCCGTCAAATTCCGACTACCGGAACACAAATTACACCTCATGCCAGACCCACCGTCATTGAAATATGCGCCGACTGTAAAAAGATTACAGAATTAGATCCAAATATCTAAATTGTATGAAACCACCACCAAAAGAAAGAGCTCGATGAGAGAAATCTAACGGTAGTTAAACCACATACTCCGACCACCGGAGAGAGGGATATGACTCCAAGAAGAAACATTGCCGGTTGGAGACGTATGGGGGTTGGATTTGGATATGAGAGTTGAGAAAGGAAGAGAGAGACGGCTATGAGTTGGCTAGGGTTTAAAACTTATTTTAAAAGGGCATTTTAGGTACTTAAAAGTTGTGAGGGGGTATCCCAAATTAATATCAAAATGGAGGGGGTATGCACCAGGATGTAATATCCTTGGTGGTTAGTTCCAAATATTTTCCATATGGGGGTCCCTAAAATAATCCCTAATTAAAAACGGTTTGTTCAAGTTTCTTGTTTTGTAAATAAACTCATCACTTACACATTATTTATTAATACACACAACTCTAATTTTTATGACATATGAATTACGCTTACCATTTAAACACGAGTTTTTTTTTTGCAAAAATCGCCCCTATATAACATTGAATTGATGGAAAAAACCCTTGTGTTAAAAGATTAACAATGAACCCCTTATGAAAATTAGTCAAAATCAATAGTCCCTGCCAACTTATAGAGTGTTGCAAGCGCGTTTTGTGCGACTAGGGGTGTGTTTTTTAGGTATATTTACACTAAACGATTTTAATCCTCAAACTTTGAAGTTCACGAAATTAGTCCTCATTCTTACCACATTTTGGCACTTTTAGTTCGGCCAGCAACTTTTTCAGTTAACTTGGACGAAAATATCACGTGCGCCTCACATGATATCCAAATGACAATCAAAACTCCAGCTAGAACACAACCCAGTCCATTTGGCAGCTTCCCCAATTTTTTATCCTCCGAATCCCTAATTTTCTCTTATGCCATTTCAACAAAAATCCAACCCTTAAATTATACTTTCTAATCCTCAAATCGATCTACCCTAATTTCACAAATTTTGAAATGTTTGTGGAGTGGAACATCACGATCGTGCATTAATAAACTTTGATTTTGGTAAATTTCTCCAAGTTGCAATCTCTAAACTTTGAATTTGGTAATTTTGCAAGTTATAGTTTTGATTTCATCTCAAATTGTTTGTTGTAGCATAAAAGATGAGTAGGAGCTTTAGTGGTTTTTATTTCAGCGTCGCGTTTACATTCTTGCCCTGGTGGTGGTGGTTTTTTCCCTTTATTTTGCCACTGGGTTTGCAAGATTGAAGTATGGTCTGTGTTGGAGTGAGGATCAATGAGCGCCATTTTTTTTTTCCTTTTTCTGGTTTTGCCCAGGCTGATTTTCATGTTATTGTTTTAAAAGATGTGCTGGAGAGATGGTGGAAGGCAGCGGAAGTTGGTGAAGGAAATGGGAGATTTAAGTGGTAAAGTTGAGAACTAAATTCGTGGCGACACATATTTGATGACTAAAGTCGTTTTAGGTGATAACTATAGGGATCAAAACTGTAATTATCCCGTTTTTATACATGAAATGTCCTAATGTCCTTTGGGATTCTTTTGCAAATAGACATACATCGAATTGACTTTACATATAAATAATGAGCTAATTGCATAGAACCCCCTGTGTAATTTGGAATGGCTAAAAAAACCCTCATGTTAAAAATATTAGCGTAGACCCCCCTATATTATTTTTGACAAAGCACACCGACTATTATTTCGAAATTAACAGTTGACTTATAGGAAATGACTAAATTAACCCTAATATTTTAATAATTTATGTTTCAATTATAAATAAATAAAAATGCAAAATGAATATAATTAGAAGAAATCCAAAAAGAAAAAGAAAGAAAAAGAAGAAAAATTATCACCCACGACCATCATCTCCTCCCTCAACCCGAAATTCTTCCATCGAGCCCTCCGCCGCCGCATCACCACCACCTCACCGCCACGGCCGCACCACCTGCCTTTCCATCCAAAAAAAAATTATGCTTTATGTTTGATGGGTTCTTCCAGATTTCTTTTGAATCAAGATTTTGGAGGCGGCATCATCCGGGCCGGATGAATCATCCATGGCGGATCGGGCCCTCTCTCTCTCTCTCTCTCTCTCTCCTTCTCTCTCATACACACAAGGTTCCATCGTGAAGTGCAACTTTTGTTGGTTTTTCTTCTTTTGCAAACGGGTTGTTTTGAACTGCTGGATATTGTTTCCTTCTTTTTATTTTTTCTTGGCGAGCAACAGATCTGAAGAAAGAGATGGAGAAAGAGGATGAGGTTTTGAGAAATTATGAAAATTGCAATTTGGTCCTATGCAATTTGGAGAGAGGGCTTTTCTGAAATTATTAGGGATTTAATTGAAAATTCTGAAAACTTCATTATGAAAAATTATGGATAAATATATAAATTAAAAAAAAAAAGATTTCAAGGGCATTTAGTAGGTTTTTCTAGTTCCAAAATCAGAAGGCCAGTCGCACAAAGCGCGAGTGTATAACACATCAAGTTCATAGGGTCTTTTTTGGCTTTGACTATTTTTCACATGGGTTTTTTGCTAATATTTTTCACACGAGAGGTTTTTCAGCTATTGAAGATTACACGGGGGTGGTTTTTGCAAAACACCCTATAAAATAATTGAAATATTTCGATCAATTTGCAATATTCAAAATTTTCTTAAAAACACTAATTTCCTGTTTCCAAAACGGTTTGTTGGCAGACTTACTTCAACTTCATCTAATTCTCCCCTCACCGTCACCCAATCCAAAATCCGTCAGATTTGGAGAAAAATCTGAAACACTGCAACATCCTAAAAGCCTTAATGGATCTGTAACGGCATTCTTTAGTGTTTTAGAACTTAATGGCTCAAAATATTTTTCTTTCACGTGGAGATGGTTTGAGTATCTCTAGAATACTCCGGCGCCTATTAGCATTCTCACTCAAAATAGTGTATATATATATATATATATATATATATATATATATTCGTTTAAACAGCAATATTGTTGTGATTGACAGTAATATTAACTATATTGATGTTAAACACAGTAAAATTAACTAAACTACAGTTTAACACA